AACACAATTTGTCGGGTCAATAGTACTAAAAAAAATTAAGAGCCTTTGAACTTCTCATTTGTAAAAGGAGCATTGCTCCTCTTATATAGAGGAGCTCAAGAGCTCATCTTTCCAAACATTTTCAATGTGGGATCAAAATGATCCAACATCATTTACAAAGGGGAACCCGTGACTCCCTTTTGTCTTCTTCTTATTTTTTTAATTTTAATTTTATTTTGTATATTGTTTTGTTTGGATTATTATTATTATTATTATTATTATTATTATTATTATTGTTATTATTATTGATAAATTCACCAAAACTTTAACAAATTTTTGAAATATATATTCATAATTACTGAACTATATGTGAACATATTCACAATTATTGAATCTCTATATTCATAATTACATAACTATATGTTCATAATTATGCTCACAACACTATGTTCATAATTATAAAACTATATGTTCATAATTGTTGAACTATATATATTCATAATTATGAACAATTTTGGAATCGTGTCTACCTTGCAAGGTAGACACAATTCCACAGCATAATTTATCGGGTCAATAGTACTAAAAAAAAAATCTTTGGACTTCTCAATACTTGCCCACATTGATGGGCAAGCAATTATGTTTGTAAAAGGAGCATTGCTCCTCTTATATAGAGGAGCTCAAGAGCTCATTTTCTAAACATTTTCAATGTGGGATCAAATGATCCAACATCATTTACAAAGGGGTGTCCGTGGCACCCTTTTATCTTCTTCTTATTTATTTTAGTTTTAATTTTATTTTGTATATCGTTTTGTTTGGATTACTATTATTATTATTATTATTATTATTATTATATTTTTTTTATTTAATTATTGATAAATTCGTCAAAATTTTATAAATTCATCATTTTAACTTTAATCAAAACCCCCAAAAAATTATATTGTAACTCAGTAATTTGCTCCAAATGACTAAAAACTAATACAACACATAATAAGCTTTATAATACTGAACACAGTTCGATTTAGCTTCATAATAATTCAATAACTATGACACAGTTCTATGTGTTCATATTCACAATTATGTAAGCTTTATAATACTGAACACAGTTCGATTTAGCTTCATAATAATTCAATAACTATGACACGGTTCTATGTGTTCATATTCACAATTATGTGTTGAACTTCATAATAATTGAACTTCATATTCACAATTATTGAATCGCTATATTCATAATTAGATAACTATGTGTTCATAAGTATGTTCACAACACTATGTTTATAATTATAGAACTATATGTTCATAATTTTTGAACTATATATTGATTATTATATTCATAATTATGAACTATTTTTGAACCATGTCTACCTTGCAAGGTGGACACAGTTTCACAGCATAATTTGTCGGGTCAATAGTACTGTATGGTTGTAAGAGGAGTGATCTTATATAGAGGAGATCGCTCCCCTTTCATCATTACATTGTAGTATCTGTTCATATACCTTCTCAACCTACTGAAACACAATGAACCAATAACGCCTCCACTGAGGCTTGAACTCATAATCTTCCAAATGGAAGTCCAACCCGGGTACCATTAGACCACATAGTCCTGGTAATTTTATTTTGTATATAGTTTTGTTTGGATTATTATTATTATTATTATTTTATTATTATTATTATTATTATTATTATTATTGTTGTTGTTGTTGTTGTTGTTGTTATTTTAATTTTATTTTATACTTGAACAATAATATTTTTATTATAATTGAACAATAATATTATCAATTATATTATAGAATATAATACCATATATAATATTACCAATTAATAGATTTTATTTAATTTCCATTTGACATTTACTTACCAAATTAGTTTTACTACAAAAGTTTTGGGGGAAAAATTTGTTAGGAGGATTTTACTTTTATATATATATATAGATATAGATTTTTGTGAATTTTTAAAAGGTAAATTATCAACATTTGGACACGGAAGTAATTTTGAATTTAAATTTCTACAATTATTCAATATATGACATTTATTGTATTTAAGCAATACAATTCCACTGGGGATCAAACTCATAATCTTTAGTTTGGTAAACCAACACCTTATCCATTAGGCTATGGAATCTTGATGTTAAACAAAACCCTTTCTATCGAAAGTAAAAATGCAAAACAACTGTCATGGTTATCAAATCCTATTTTGTTAATATTGTGTGACTACAATATTTGAAAGGAACTTGTGAATACATAACAAGGTAATCAATTGTATATATAAAACGACGTAGTTTTTAATTTTAATTTTTAAGGTGAAATTATGTGCCTATATGACATATATTGTTTTTAGGCAATACGACTCCACTAGGGAGCAAACCCAAAATCTCTGGTTCTGTAGACCAACACCTTATCCATTGGGTCATGGAGTCTTGATTCTAAACAAAACCATTTCAATCTAAAGTAAAAAAAAAACATATCAACTGTCATGGTTATCAAATCCTAATTTGTTAATATTGTGTTACTACAAGATTTGAAAGAAACTTATAAATACAAAACAAGGCAATCAATTGCATATATGTTACCATTGTGAGTTCGTAGTTGACAAATTGTGAATTTTTAAAAGGTAAATTATGAACATTTAGACGCGGATCCACCTTGCAATTTAGAACCGGATAGAATAATTTGTCATTCTCAATCATTTTTGTGAATAGTGTTTTTAGGGAATACAACTACACTGGGGATCAAACCTAGAATCCCTAATTTCATAGACCAACACCTTATCCATTGGGCCAAGGAGTCTTGATTTTAAACAAGACCATTTCAATCGAAAGTAAAAAAGCATAACAACTGTCATTGTTATCAAATCATAATTTGTTAATATTGTGTTACTACAATATTTGAAAGAAACTTGTACATACAAAATAAGGCAATCAATTGCATATATGTTAACATTTTGTGTTCGTAGTATACAAATTGTGAATTTTTAAAAGGTAAATTCTGAACATTTAGTCTGTAAATTATGAACATTTTGACGCGGATCCTCCTTGCAATGTAGACCCGAATCCATATAATAATTTGTCATTCTCAATCATTTTTGTGAATTTTTAAAAGGTAAATTGTGTACATTTGGACGCGGATCCACTTTGCAATGTAGACACGAGTTCATTTTTGTGAATTTTTAAAAGGTAAATTGTGTACATTTGGACGCGGATCCACCTTGCAATGTAGACACGAGTCCATGTGTCCTAAACGACGTTGTTTTGAATTTTAATTTTGACGGTTGTTCTTTATATATTGTTTTTAGGTAATACCACTCTAATGGGGATCAAACCTAGAATCTCTGGTTCCAAAGTCCAGCACCTTATCCATTGGGCTTCGGAATCTTGATTTTAAACAAGACCATTTCAATCGAAAGTAAAAAACGAATAACAACTGTCATGATTATCAAATCCTAATTTGTTAATATTGTGTTACTACAATATTTGAAAGAAACTTGTGAATACAAAACAAGGTAATCAATTGCATATATGTTAACATTTTGTGTTCGTAGTATACAAATTGTGAATTTTTAAAAGGTAAATTGTGAACATTTAGTCTGTAAATTATGAACATTTGGGCGCAGATCCACCTTGCCATGTCGACCCGTATCCATACAATAATTTTCCATTCTCAATCATTTTTGTGAATTTTTAAAAGGTAAATTGTGAACATTTGGACGTGAATCCTCCTTGTAATGTAGACCCGAGTCCATGTGTTCTAAACAACCCAAAATCTCTGGTTCCATAGACCAGCACCTTATCCATTGGGCCATGTAGTCTTGATGTTAAACAAGACCCTTTCAATCGAAAGTAAAAAAGCATAAAACTGTCATGGTTATCAAATCCTAATTTGTTAATATTGTGTGACTACAATATTTGAAACGAACTTGTGAATACAAAAAAAAAAAGGTAATCAATTTCATATATGTTAACATTTTGTGTTCGTAGTATACAAATTGTGAATTTTTAAAAGGTAAATTGTGAACATTTAGTATGTAAATTATGAACATTTGGACGCGGATCCACCTTGCAATGTAGACCCGAATCTATAGAATAATTTGACATTCTCAATCATTTTTGTGAATTTTTTGGACGCAGATCCACCTTGCAATGTAGTCTCGTGTCCATGTGTCATAAATGAGGTAGTTTTGAATTTTAATTTTGGTGGTTGTTCAGTATCTTACGTAATTTATGTCTTGAATTATGAAATTATGTGCAGGCTATACGACTCCACTGTGGATTAATCGGTGCCTAGCTGGTCGGGATTTTTGCAACACTAGAATTTTATGATATATTATAACATGTTTTGTATGAAAATTAAAGGCATTCTAGTCTTTAAAAATACAAAAACAAAAAAAAATCAAGATAATTCATCATAAGATTGGTGATGAAGTAAGGAGGCCACGAAATGAGGAACTGATGAAATGAGGAGAGATAAGGCTGAATCAATGGAATGAAACTTAATTTAAATTAGGTAATGTGTTTTGTAAATATAGGGGTAATCAAATCCTATACCCATGTTTTAAAAAGTTGTCAACCAATTCAAACAATGTCTATGACTTTAAAATTCTCATTCGGTATGTCTTACCCATGAACCAAACACACTCTGAATTATGAAAAAGTCACTTCATACATAATTAAGAGATAAAAAATGATGTTAATATAAATGAATGATGAAAAGTACTATTTCCTTATAATTTCGGGACGAGTGCCATTTCCCCTTTACTCATATTTATAATATTAAGTAAAAGGAGAAATTACAATGTTTGTCCTTCAATTATAGAAAAATTACACTTTTTATCTTTAAATTATATTTGTTACAATTTTTCGTTCCTCAATTGTCTGCACAATTATTTTCCTTGAATTTTGTTAGCATTGAGTTAAAAAAATTCACTGAAAAATGTTATTTCTTTATAATATAGGGACGAAAAATATAATTTTTCTATATATATATATCAAACCACCCCAATTATAATATACTTGGATTATAATTATCAAAATGGGTAGCACCACCTCATCAACAACATCCCACCCCATAGTGTTCTTGCTCTTGCTTTCACTCATGATTTCCCAGAGCTGTTGGCACGTTGATGGGCGTGGAATCAAAACTACCATCTTTCTCAACAACCAACTTCCTCAAGAGTCCGACGTCTTCAAGGTTCACTGCTTCTCCAAAGACAATGATCTTGGGTACCATGATGTCTCAAAAGATAATTCGCCATTTGCGTGGTCCTTTAGCGAGAACTTTTGGGGTACTACGTTGTTCGCTTGTCACTTTTGGTGGGGTTCCAAAGATAAAGCTTTTGATGTATTTGGAGGTGCTATCCATCCAAAAATAGATCCAACCAAGAAGTTCCACGCAGGGAAATACTATTACTATGTTAGGTCTGATGCTTTTTACCTATCTCATAATGGCAATCCCTCCGAAGCTCGAAAGGTTGTGACTTGGTAATTATTGCAACACTCGAAATAGAGATGCGTATGTAATGGATTGTGAAAATAATTAATTTCCAGAGATTGGGAGTTCGAACCATTCTTGTATGAAAAAATTAATTTGGCCAACATTTTACCCCTTAATTAGTTCAGCCCGGTGAGAATGAGGATTAGTCTAAGTATGGTACGGGCTTAAAGATACCTCTTACAATTAGGGACTGCTCAGGACACCTCATGGCGGCTTGACCAAAATATGGTTAGTGTAAATCACGGTGACTCAATAAATCCTGGCCCGATAAAATATTTGAGAGAATATAAATCACGGTGACTCAATGGCACAACAGACATGACCAAATACCGGTGCGCACAAAGAATCTACCCACTTTAGACATAATTCTCACCTAATGAATTAATGAGCTAAGTTCGATATAATCCCCGCCTATTGAACCAAGGAGCTAAGTTCGTACCGACTTCTGTATGATGGACCTTTGTCGGGGCAATTAGTATAGGGTTGGATAGTGGTTGAGAAGTAGGAGATCAGATAAGTGTGCCACACAAATCTTTACGTCAACCAATACCAAATTCAAGGGATTATTTCTTTTTATGAACGTGCATGGGAAGAATAGCAAATCGATCTTTACGTCAACCTTTAAGCCAAATTCAAGGGATTATTTGCTCATTGTTAACGTTTGTAATAGTATGTGTAGTATTGCTCGGGAGGTCAATTTTATGTCACAATGTGGGAATATGCCATTTTTCTTTTACTTTTAATTTTGATTTTATGATTTAATTTGTTTATTTGTTTTAAAGTGTCCGTGCAGATATACGAGTAGTGAAACTTTATTATTGCACGTAAATAAATTTTTACTTCAGTTAGTTATATTTAAATTAAGTCTCAAATGACAATAAATAAAGATGTCTACATATATATTATTATATCATTTTTAACTCTCCGAGTAAAGTGATTTTATTAAATTTGGCCATCAACTTTAAAATCAATCAATTTTGATATTTTAAATATTAGATTTGTACCACATTTAATTTTATAGTAGATTTTATGTCAAATGATCATTTCAAACAAAGTCAAAAATATGACCAAAATTGATCAATTTTAAAGTTAAGAATCAAAAATGACAAAATCACTATATTTAATGGACAAAAAATAGTATTAATTCAATATTATTCTCCAAACAAGTACGGAGTACTTTCTTTTCTTTTCAAGTATAAATTTATTTGAACCTGGGTTTAATCAATAAGGAAAAAAGGGGAGGAGTGTTCCACTTGTATTGGGATTCACATGAAAAAAAAAAAAAATAGCCTATCAGAACCCAGTCACATTAGGAGTAAAATTTAGGGAGTAAGATTTGAGAGTATATGTAGTAAAACTCTATGGCTCTGTTTGGTAAAAAATTGGCCTATAGGCTAATTTTGACTTATTTGATTACTGTTAATTGTTTGATTTAGTTAAAAGATCAATATAAATGTTTGGTTAATTAACTTTTTGCAACTTCAAAAAGCTAAAATTCAAAAAGCTACTCCAAACAACTTTTTCAATTAACTCTTTGAAAAAAAAATTATATCAAACAGCTTTCAGGTAACAGCTAATTTACCAAACACTTTTCTACCATCAGCTAATATTATCAACTATTTATACCCACTAATTAACACAATCAGCTAACAACCATTTTACCAAACAGGACCTATATGTAAATACTAATCATGGGCACGTGTTGCATGAAACTTTGTGCTCTGACTAAACATGATTATTAGCTGATAGTTGTTAACTGTTAGCAGATTGCCTGGTTGGGTTAATTAGAGGCCAGGATATAACTAGTTGACAACATTAGCTGATTGTAGAAAAGGTGTTTGGTAAATTAACTGTTAATTGATAGTTGTTTGGTATAATTTCTTTTCTAAAAAAGTTAATTGAAAAAGTTATTTTGAATAGCTTTTTGAATTTTAGCATTTTGGAGTACAAAAAGCTAATTAACCAAACACTTATATTAATTTTTAAACCCAAGTCAAACAACTAATTAATAATTGTCAAATTGGTCAATAGCTAATACTACGCTTCACATGACCAGGGCGCGAAATGATGTTTTCCTTGGTGGGTCTCACATTTCTGATAAAAACCAATGCTTTGCATGGTTATTTTTTTCTCTCTCCTTACCATCTCTCCTCCGCATAAGTCTTGTTTTCTCAAAAATCACACCAAAATGCATTGATGTGGATTTCATAGGCGCAAATTATGCCATGGAATCGTGTTCACCGAGAATGGTGAACACAAGGCAAAATGACGTCGTTTTTAGGCAAAAAAAAAAAAAAATCGCGGATGTGGAGTTAACGGCGCGCGTTTGATCAAATTATGAATTTTCTGTTATGAGATTATGAATTTTATGAAAATTCATAATCTCATAACAGAAAATTCATAATCGCATAACAGAAAATTCATAATCTCACAACTGAAAATTCATAATCTCATAACAGAAAATTCATAATCTTATAACAGAAAATTCATAATCTCATGGTTCCAAAGTGAATGTGTAGGCATGGTTCCAAAGTGAATGTGCAGGCATGGATTCATAATTTATGAATGTCCGTAATTTCGGACGGGAATATGTAGGCATGGTTCCAAAGTGAATGTGCAGGCATGAATTCATAATTTATGAATGTCCGAAATTATGAATGTAATGAAAATTCATAATCGCATAACAGAAAATTCATAATCTCATAACTGAAAATTCATAATCTCATAACAGAAAATTCATAATCTCATAACAGAAAATTCATAATCTTATAACAGAAAATTCATAATCTCATGGTTCCAAAGTGAATGTGTAGGCATGGTTCCAAAGTGAATGTGTAGGCATGGTTCCAAAGTGAATGTGTAGGCATGATTCCAAAGTGAATGTGCAGGCATGGATTCATAACTTATGAATGTCCGTGATTTCGGACGGGAATGTGTAGGCATGGTTCCAAAGTGAATGTGTAGACATGAATTCATAATTTATGAATGTCCGAAATCTTTGTTCACCTCAAATTAAAGTGAAACCGCAAAATGTGAAAATAAAGAAGAAAAGTCACACAATTAATTAAGAAAAAAAAAAAAGATAACGGTGTACTAACACCGTTGGAACCGTGTTCACCATGAATGGTGAACACGGTTCCATGGCATAACGTCTCTTTCATAGGTTGGTGGGTATAATACCAGGACTATGTGGTCTAATGGTACCCGGGTTGGACTTCCATTTGGAAGATTATGAGTTCACATTACAATGTAATAGAGCCAGTAACTTTCAAAAAAGGTTGGTGGGAATAATAATTAAATATAAAATCATTTTTAAACATTACACCGACCAAACTAACACCAAAATTTAAATTAATATAATTATATTTAATTATCACATTATAAAATGGATTGGTTTAGATTTTTAAAATTTAATAGTTTTGAATACAATTGTTACAATGCACATATGTTTGAACTTTTTTTCACCAATAAGCACTATAGAATAGGTACTAGTATAATATTTAAGAATATAATTGGACTGTGAAAGAGTATGACCCCCTGCATTATATAAGAAGAGTAAACAACACAAGAAACATCACATTATAAAATAAATAGATACATAACAATTTTATTGTAGTTTATTAATTTGCTTTCAAAACTATTAGTATAAACTAAATAAGTGAAATAAACACATTGATGGAAAAATGATATCTGAGCCTAAGGTTAATTAGGCCATGAGGTGGAGATTCGGGAGTTAATTTGGTCAATGGAATAATTGGGAACTAAGAGAAAGGTTTTTGAAGGCCTATAGATAGGAAGAGAAGAAAATTAGAGTTGAGAATAAGCTGAGGAATAGAGTTAATGGGGCTGAGGTGAAAATGTTAGAGGGATGAGGTGGGAAGTGGGACAAGGCGGAACGTTAAGGGAGTGAGAGTGTAAAGATAAAAGAGACGATGTATAAACTGAAGAAGATGAAAGTTTGGTGGCCAAAGTGCTGCAGGTCATAAAATTCAGGGTTGTAAGGTGCAAAAGTGAGGAAGGTGGGCTGGGCAGGATAGGCTCTGGGTGCATTTTGCAAAACATGGGGATAAAACAAAAACTCAAGAAAAACATAAAGAGGGGGTGGGAGGTGGGGGTGGGGGGATTTGCTCCCCCACCTAGCCAACAAGAGAGTCAGTCGAGCCCCGCGTTTTATTGCGGCATCGACCTAGGCAAGTGGGGGACAGTCGGCCACATTCGGTGGTAACACATCGTGGCTAGCGACGACGAGTTGTGGAGAAGCTGAGGTGGCGATAGTTGGCGATTTGGGAGTTTTGGGAAATGTTTGGCGACTTGGCTGAAAATTTTGGTGCTTGGGTGGGACATATGTGTAGCTAGGGGTCCTTGGGCATCTTGTTCCATTGACTCTCCATGATTTGTGGCTCCAAATTTAGTATAAGGGGGGTGGGAGGAGGGGTATGTCACCCTCAGACATCAGTATTAATGACGTGTAAGATTTTTCCTAATGATATATATTATATATTATATATTAGGGCTTATGACTAGAGTCGAAGGCTCGCGAAGCCAAGCCCTTTAATTCAGAGTGGCCCCCAAAGTTAATCCCACAAATACCATTAACACCGTTGGTAGCATGGTTGAGTGAGGTCTTGGCTTACATTGAAAAATTCAATATAGCGAGGTTACTTCCCCCCATAAGTTGGAGAACCAGATCGACAAGTAAAAGTACTGTCGATTCCACAGCCACAAATAGTATGGACACGAACGATACTAATGAGTGTTAGGAGTTGACAATGGAAATTGAGCTCCTTATGCAATCAAGAGGGCTTAAGGATCGGAGGTAACCCAATCAAGCTGCTAATGATACAAACTTGTAACTACAATGTGATATGCTCAATTAACAAGAGCAAGAAGTTAGTGATCAATGTAATCTTTGGTCAATAGGACTCCACAGAGACGAAAATGATAAAGATGGTGTATACATGGCATATGTGGGCAACCCGACCAAATCTTCTAAATAGTTTAAACTTTTTGACTTTTTTGAATTTTATCTCTTAAATATAATTATCACAAAACACAAATATTTAATACGGAGTATAAAATTTTAAAAAATTAAAGAATTTATATAGACTTGTTAATTTGTTGCAAAAATTTAGAATTGAATTATCTAATTTTTAAAAATTTAAATATAATTACCGGCTTACCGCTGAGGTTTGTGAATTGTCCAGCTCGAAGGCGGCGATAGAGTATACCGGAATACAGCTACTGTACATTCACCATCATTGAATGGGTCGATTTACCGGCGGCGAAATGCCTCCGGCTAAGGAATTAGCTAAACATCCGACTTCCTCCAAACGCAAAACTCCCCGTTATAATGGCGACCGCCGCGAGAAACGGAAGAAGCGGAGAGTAACAGCAGTGCAAACTGAGGCTCATAGCGAAACCCTAAGTCTAGCAGACAATTCAAATCGCACTTCGACGTCTCATATGCATGCGTACGCACATGCCAATTATCACAGGGGCGGAGAGCATAGGGGGAAACGAAAGAGGCAAAGGCCGCCGGCTAATACTGTGGATCGGCGCAAGTGGGTGTACTCACCTCGGGACGTTTCACATTGTAAAGGTATGTGGACGAGTGGATGTTGTATCTAAATTAATTATAACCTTTACAAATTGAGGATTTTTTGTTTGGTTACAATTTCCTAGAAATTGCTTTGTTATTTATTACTATTTGCGCAATTTGATATGTTTCTGCATTTATCAGTGGCTTAGCAGCATGTTTTTTGTTTAATTTTTTTGTGCTGGATATTGCAGATGGCTTTGTATTTGTGTCGTATAATCTATTGGCAGTGGAAAATGCGAAAAAACATCCTGATTTGTACCCTAATGTCTTGCCAGAGTTGATGGATTGGGATTACCGGAAGCAAATCTTATGCAAGGAAATCCGGGGATATAATCCAGGCATTATGTGTTTCCAGGTAAAATTTTATTTTTTGCATAAACACTAATTTCAATGTAAAGCAAGTGCAATAATTTTTGGTAAGTTGAGAAGATAAATGGTGCTGTTGACCTGATTGTACCAGGACAAGATACTAATGTGCCCTGTTGGATAAATACAAGGGTACACGGTATTATCTCTTGATGACAAGTGTGGAGCTTTTATTAGCAGAGATTGAAAGTTTTAAATGCAAAATAGTTTCCTCCTCTATCAAGGATATCTAGTTTTCTTTGAAATGAAAACATGTTTCAGTGTGTATTTGCATTATTTTTATTAAACCTGTTACTGCAGGAGGTTGATCGGTATGATGATTTAGATAATCTCCTTCAGAAAGATGGGTTCAGAGGAGTGTACCAGGTTTTTTTTTTGGACCATCTTTTCCATTAGATATGTTGTTCATGTCAATTGAAAGTATGCATTCCAACTGCTTGGCTTTGTTTTACTAGCCTCGTACAGGGGATTCATGTGATGGGTGTGCAATATTTTGGAAGAACGAGCTGTATGATCTTCATCTTATTTACAGAATTTGGTGCTTTATAATTGATCACTGTGCTATTGGTCCTCGCATTATTAGCAACATAAATCTCTAGCAAAAAGCTGTTCTATTTTGCATCTGAAATAAGCATATTGGAATGCAGATTTACCCTTTTGCACAAAGAAAGCATAGAGTTCGAAAGGTTTGGTCTACGCAATAACGTTGCCCAGTTTTGTGTTTTCAAGGTAAAGTTGTCTCTGATCTGGGTAATACTAATACTAAGCAACCTAATTTTGACATTCCATTCCTTTCCTTTTATGTTTGCAGAGAAAAAGGAAAGAGTGTAGTAACGATTCAAATGCTTTGACATCAGAGTATGAAGTACTTCATCATTTGTTTAAAATCAGTGCTTATCCCATAATATACTGTAGATAGAAGTAATAATGAGAACATTTTCCAAATTTTCTATGCATCTATGGGTTGTGAACTGTGCAAATTTGAAATAGGGACATGTCCTCTCAAAGTTTTCTGGTAGGGAACATCCATGTACTCTTCAATCCAAAACGTGGAGACATTAAGCTGGGTCAGGTGTGAACAATTGTTAAATTATTAGTTGTGTTCCCCAATAAAGCTGGGTTTGTCATAAATTGCCTTATTGCAGATTCGTTTACTTGTTGAGAATGCCCAAAGACTTTCACAGGAATGGGGTAATATACCAATTGTACTTGCAGGAGACCTAAATAGTATGCCAAAGGTAATTTGTTCTTGGTTTAACAGTATAAGTATCAATCTAATAGTAAATGCAATTTTTGCAGCTTACCAATATTTTATTTTTTTTAGAGTGCAGTTTATCAGTTTTTGACATCATCTAAGGTGAATCCTTTACTTCCCAGACATGAGTCAGCATTATTATTTCTTTTATTTATTTATTTTTTTTTTTTTTTTAAATTATATTATTTCCTTTCTAACAGTTGGACATCCGCATGCATGAACGAATACATATCTCTGGGCAGATTGATCCATCTGTGAAACCGACCTATCGATTTAAGAGTGTACCTGCAGCGAGGTTCCTTGCATATTTTTACTCATTTACCATCTTAATCGTTTTTTGATATTCGTGCAGATAAAAATGCTTCAGTCATATCCAAGTGCAAATATGTTTGGTTTTTGAAATTTAATGCTTGTATTTCAAATATTGTAAATAGCCCATCTCTTCTGTGGCATTTACTAGATCACTAATTCTGTATCTATTCAACGTTTGTAGGGCTAGAAAACCATTAATGCATAGATGGACTGATGAGGAGCTTAGGCTTGCAACAGGAACAGTATCTGTTCACCTGCTACATCAATTAAAGCTATGCAGCGCCTATGCCGGAGTTCCTGTAACATTTTTTTTTCTTGAAAGACTCTTGTTTCTTAACCTAAGCATTGGATACATCAATGTTTCTGAAAGATACGCACTATTTAAAATTTTTGTTAGACTATTTCCTTTGTAGTAACAAAACCATAACCCACAATGAACAAGCCTTTAGTTTCATTCTTACATTGTTTCGAAAATTGAGATGAGTTTTTTTTAAAAAATATTTGGTGTTTTCAAATGCTCAGGGAACCTCTAAGACGAGAGATGACCTTGGAGAACCCTTGGCAACGTCATTTCATTCCAAGTTTCTGGGAACTGTTGATTATATATGGTGCTCTCTTGTTTCACCAAAGACTCTTTCTCTGTTCACTTTTGGTTTCTCCTGTAAACGTATTTGAGGTGATGCAGGCATACAGCTGAGCTTGTTCCTCTGAGGGTTCTTGATCCCTTGCCTGTCAACATTTTGAGAAGGACCAGAGGGCTTCCAAGTGAGGTAACCATCATCTATTTAACAAATACAAGGGAAAGAAGTGCGTATAATGAATTACATTAGTAAGCAGATATTTGATGCTACTAGCCATTTTGCCCATACTAAATATCATTCTCATTACATTATCTGTTTTCTTCTGATCATCATCAAAGTGGTTAAACTGTTCCTTGGCTTCACCTACTATGCTGAATCCACTTGTGATCATTATCATTTCAGAAACTGTTTTCAGTATATTTAATTTCTTCCTACTTCCTCTTTCTGCATACCATTCATCTATTGGAAAATAATTCTGAATATTTAATAAACACACATACATTACATTTCCAAGCCACAGTGTGGGCTATGATTTGTTGTGAAGTTATAGAGTTCTATCCCAGCAGTAAACTGTCTGGGCCATGCACCTGGTTTTATGGCCTGTTTGGTACATAGGAATTGAAATTATTTTCCCTTGTAATAATTCCCACATGGGATTTACAATTCCCTCCAACCATGGAATTGAAAATCCTAGGCCCCAGAATTGGAATTCCACAGCAAATGTGGAAGGAAATAGAATTAATGCCACATGGGGTCCTCTGAGTATAGTGGTTTTGCCACGTTTAGGACTAAACGTGGCAAAATCACTATACTCGGAGGACTCCAGATGACTCAATAATTGTAATGACAACTTTGCCTTTATTATTAAAGGCATTATAGTCTTTATATCACTTCTTCCTTTTCAGTTCTCAGTAATTCTATTCCTTCCTACAAAACAATGTGATTTGAATTTCTACTTTATTTTCACCTTATTTCCACTAGATTACAATTTCTTTCCCCCTAATTTCCCTCTTCCAACCAAACGCCCCCATTAATGAAAGATAATAAGGTTTCAGTTTGAACTAATTTTAAATTGTACAGTCTCAAATGTACTCCATAGTAATATATTTTTCAGTTCTCAATGCGGACTGACATTTCTTTTAATTTGCAGGAATGGGGAAGTGATCATCTAGCTCTAGTTTGCGAACTAGCATTTGCAGGTGAAGGTGACGAGACGTGAATTGCATTTGTGGAAGCTGCTTGTTTGGCTAACCATTCACGAACTGTAATTGACAACGTGATGCTTCATTGCTCCACATAAATTATTCCGGTTTTCCAAATCTTATTCGAAAAGAACTGTAGAGACATGTCGCAATTGGATACCAAGATGTGTGATATATTAGGGCATCCCCATCAATGGTTTTTTAGATGGAAATGCTTGTGGAGGAGAGAGGGAGAGGAGAGAAAAGAATTGAGAGTGCTGCACGGAGATCTGGTTTTGGTTTTTAACTCTGCAATGGGTCTCACCAAAATGAACTTATTGTTGCATCAGTCGTGTGAAGCAAACTGCCCAGCCGGGCGTGTGGATATTCCACGCGCTCACTGGGCGCGTAATTTCCTTTTTTTTTTTCTTTTTTTTTCATTTATCCTTTTTCTCTCCCATGTTTTCTTTTTTTAGTCACACCTGTAAAAATTACTCAAAATCTACAACTATTAGAAATGTTTTTAACCGTGGTTGTTCATGACACATGGCAAGAGACATGTGTTACATTCAAACTTTAAGAAAAAAAAGTCAAAGGTTCAAGAGTTATATATCATGGGAGGAAATGACAAACCTAAACTAACAAAAGTTATAACTTTAAAGAGAAATGGACTCAAAATCAAGTCTTATAGAGTATATTATATGGTAGTACTCTGTATCTTTGTAGCTTTTACTTGGCATCCTTAGAGCATCCCAAAAGGGGATTTTGGATTGGGTTTTGAGGAGAAAAGTGTGAGGTGGAAGAGAGAGGGGAGAGTGTGTTGCTGGAGGTCTCCTAAAGAAGAAAGCAATTCATGGTCCGTCACATTTGCTGACATGTGTGTGTTTGTTCATGGTCCGTGTGTGTTGTTCATGGTCCGTGTGCTGGACATCCGTTGGATGCGTTCATAGGTCCGTGTGTGTTGTTCATGGTCCGTGTGCTGGACATCCGTTGGGCGCGTTCATAGGCTCCAATTTAATTTATTTATTTATTTTGAATTTTGCTGACATTTTGTTGCATTTTTTTTTTTTTACCTCCTTCTCTCATTTTCTCTTTCCTAATCACACCTACAAAAACTTTTCAAAACCCAATAGTGGGGATTTTGGTATGATTTTTGAAAAGTTTTTGCATGTGTGATTAGGAAAGAGAAAATTTACTCACCAAAAAAAAAGAAAGGGAAAATGAGAAGAAATAAAAAATAAAAAATAAAAAATAAAAACCAAAACAAAATAAGAAAAAGGAAATTAAAAAAGCAAAAAGCAACCTTTTCAGAAGCAAAAAAAAGAAGAGAACTGATGCACCAGCAGGCGCATGCACTGGGCGTCCTTGTGCGCCACACGAGCACTGCATCACGTTCAATTCTTTCTTTACTGTTTCGCGGGACCCCCAAAAAGCTCAAGATTTGCATAGCAACTGAGGGCAACTCACTCATTCTCTCTCTTCCCTCTCTTTCCTCCACCTCACTCATCTCTCAAAATTTGTTCCATAATCCTCCAAATGGAGATGCTCAGCATCAACGTAATCAAATATTATATTTCTGGGAGAAGAAATATTATATTTCTTATTCCACGATTAAAAAAAAAAAAAGAATATTACAAGGATTTGAAGAGCACATAGAAATTGAGAAAAATGAAAATCGCATGGATAATAGCGTAAATTTCAAATTTTAGGAATTTAAACTTCAATACTTTGCTTTAAAAAAAAAAAAAAAAAAACTTCAATACTTTAATCGAAAGATGCTATATTAAATTAAAACTTGGCTTTGATGGCTTGTTTTATGTGGATTGTGTAGGTTTGAGTGGTGGACTGACTTTATTGTGGAGGAAGAATAACATGGCAAGGTTAATGAGTTTTTTGAAAAATCATATTGATGTAGAGGTCAGTATGACTGGGTTGTCACATTGGCGGATGACTTATTACTATGGTTTTACAGAACGAAATATGCATAGTGAGGCGTGGGATCTATTAAAATGACTTGCTCCTAGACGATCTACTTTACCAGGGTTATAGTGGGTGATTTTAATGATCTTTTGTTCCAGTACGAGAAACGAGGGGGCAATCTGCACCCAAATAATCTCCTTCGCGGTTTTGGGGAGGTTGTTGAGCACTGTTGGCTGTCCCAGCTGCATATGGATGGTTACCAGTTTACTTGGGAGAAGGGGAAAGGAACGAGCAGATGGATTGAGGAGAGATTAGATAAAGTGTTGGCTACAGTTAAATGGCGTGAAATAGTGACAGGGGCGAAGGTCTCTAATATGCTCACCAGTAGGTCTGATCATTCGGCCCTTTTCCTAGCGATCCATGATCCGGTAGGAAGGGGGGAGTAGGAAGGCGGGGATTTCGTTTTGAGATGGTCTGGCTTTATGATGAGGGGTGCAGGGGAGTGGTTGAGAAATCTTGGGAGGATGGGAGGATGGGAGGAGTAAGGGCCTGCAAGATTGTGTTTCAAATTGTGGAAACCGCCTATCACAGTGGGGTGGTGACCGGCTCATAAATTTGGAGAACGGATCATGAGCCTTCGGAGGGCGCACTGATTTAGTTTCGTTGACTGAATTCCAACGCCTGGAGGGGGAACTTACCTGCCTAAAGGCTCAGGAGGATGCTTATTGGAGATAGAGGGCCAAACAACATTGGCTTAAAGATGTTGATGCAAATACAAGATTTTATCACAAGTATGCCTCCCACTGAAGAAAAAAAAAAAAAAAAAGAATGCTTTATCTAAACTTATGAATGATTCGGGGGATTGGGTTGAGGGGAAAGCTATGAAAGGAATTATTATGGAATATTTTGATAAAATCTTTTGCACTAGCAATCCTGGTACTAGTGATAACTTGTTTGGTAATATAATTCCACGTGTTACCCGCGCCCAAAATGAGTCTTTACTCCGGCCCTTTGAATTTGATGAGGTAAAAGATGCTCTCTTTGCTATGTTTCCTGATAAAGCACCTGGCCCTGATGGAATGAACACAGGGTTCTATCCGCACTTTTGGGATGTAGTGGGAGGGGATGTTTCACAATTTATAACGAATTGCCTAAATACCGAGTTTGTTCCTCCTAATTTGAATTATACGGATGTTGTGCTAATCCCCAAGAAGAATACCCCTGAACTGGTCACAGATCTTAGGCATATAGCTTTGAGTAATGTGGTTTACAGGATTATGGCTAAGATGATTACTAACAGGATGAAGCCTATGATGAAGGATATTATTTCAGACTCGCAGAGTGCGTTTATACCAGATAGACTTATCACTGATAATATTTTAATCGCTGCAGAAGTTGGGCACTATTTAAATAGAAAGCAATGCGGTGCGGTTAGTTGGGGGGCCCTGAAATTGGATATGGCAAAAGCATATGACCGTATGGAATGACCATTTTTGAGAGGAATGCTTTTGGCCCTGGGTTTTGATGAACACTGGGTAAAATTAATTATGCTATGTGTAACTACTGTCTCATATAGCTTCTTGATTAATGGCTCTCGTAGTAACCCGGTAACTCCCACTCGAGACTTGAGACAAGATGATCCGTTATCTCCCTATCTCTTTATTATTTGTGCAGAAGGACTTTCTTTACTATTACAACAGGCACAGACTACTAGTTTAATACATGGATGCAGGGTAGAAGGGGAGCCCCCAATCTCTCATTTATTTTTCGCGGATGATAGTTTGTTATTCTTTAAAGCTAATGTGCAAGATGCTACAGAAATTAAAAACTGTTTATCTATATATGAGAAGCTATCTGGGCATGTGGTCAATTATCATAAGTCTAGTATTTATTATAGCAAAAATACTGGAATAAATGACAGGGATGAGGTGGCCCAGATTTTGGGTGTTATTCAGGAAAATATTTGGGTTTGCCATCTTTTGTTGGGAGGAATAAAAAAGCAGCTTTTGCCTATATTGAGGTAAGATCAGACAGAGAATTAGGTCATGGAACAAGAAGTTTTTATCACAGGCTGGTAAGAAAATTTTATTGAAAAGTGTGGCTCAATCTATGCCTACCTTTTCAATGAGTGTTTTTTTATTACCTGTGGCAGTTTGCACAACCATTGAGAGAATGATAAACATGTACTGGTGGGGTTCAGGATCTGACCGAGGTATTCATTGGAAGGCCTGGGATAGATTGTGCATTCCTAAAAAATATGGAGTTTTGGAATTTAAAGACCTAAGGGCTTTTAATTTGGCAATGTTAGGCAAACATGCATGGCAAATGTTAACGAATCCAAGTTCATTGGTGTCACGTATTTACAAGGCAAGATATTTTCCTAACCAGACTTTTCCTGAGGCAGGGATAGGAAATAATCCCAGTTTCTGTTGAGCGCAGTATTATGGCAGCTAAAGACCTCATTTGTAGTGGGGTGAGACGGCGGGTTGGAAATAGTGGTAGTACCTTAATTTGGGAGCATCCTTGGCTCCAAAATGACCTAGTCCCAATGATCCATACAAAGATGCCCCAACAGTTGGCAGGAGCCAGAGTGATAGGTTTAATTGACCAGGCAACCGGAACATGAGATCACCACATTCTCACAGATATTTTCCAACCTAATGATGTGACTAGGATTATGAAAATACCTGTCTCCTCGGATTATGAAGACTCTTGGTACTGGCATGGGGACCGCAATGGTTGTTACACTGTGAAGAATGGCTACAAGCGCATTATTGGGAATTATGAGTCTAATAGTAATGGGGCTTTTGATAAATGGCTTACCTTGTGGCAGCTAAAAATACCTCCAAAGTGGAAGACTTTTTTATGGAGAGCTATAAGTGATATCCTCTCCACTACTAATAATTTGATTATAAAGAGGGTGGATGTTGATCCAATTTGTGCCATGTGTGGAATCATTCATGAAGACACTATGCACCCATTGGTTTTGTGTGGTTATGCAAGTTCCATATCGGGATAATCTAACCTTCCATTTCCCAATATTACAACAAATATTTTCCATGATTGGTTTAGTGCAATCTTGAATGTTACACTAATGGAATTATGTACGCAGCTACTATTCTATATCATATCTGGAGGGCGTGGAACGGAGTGGTTTGGGATGCGTGTCTACCATTGCCCAGGAAAATACTTGCCACGACGACAGCCACCTTGCACGCATGGAGGAAAGTTCACGATGTAATGCCCAACACACCGCTGACCGCTGCCTCGGCCGAAGGACTGCCGGCTGCCTCCACGGCCGGACTGCCGCCTTTCGCCGCTCCAGATCACGCAACCGCACTGTATCATCGAAGATGCTACGTCGACGTCGATTATCGCTATGCCACAAACTCGGCCACGGTTGGAGTAATATTGCTCGATGCGAATGGTGGATATATCTCGGCATACAGCGCCCCCCTTCCAAACTGTTTTTCACCACTTATAGCCGAAGCATTTGCGGCAAAGGAGGCACTATCTTGGCTACATGCTCGTGGAGAGCAGTCTGTTCGTCTATACACAGACTGTCATACACTGCAGTGCTATCTATCTTCGTCAGATGACCCGCCCCGAACTTATATTGGTTATGTTATTGATAGTTGCAAGACTTACATCTCGACATTTCATGCCTACTCAGTTCTTTTTATTCCTAGATCGCAGAATTATTTAGCACATATTTTAGCTTCTACTGCTTTTGAACAGGCTACGACTATGTATTGGGACTCCGTCCTTCCTGACTCTATTTCAGCTTATATCTAAATATAACCACACTGGTTTCCTTCAAAAAAAAAAATAATAAATATCAAGGTCAAGCACCTTGGGCTCAAATAGCACCCATGTGGCTCCCCTTGAGGGAAGGTCACAGGATCGAACCTTGGTGGTGGGGTTTTTACTCTTTAGACTGCAATAGATAGAGAAAGTATAGAACATATACTACTTTGTAACAATAGTATTCAAAAAAAATTAAATATCAAGGAAAAGAAAGTAATACATACCCTTCTAATGCAGAAAATTAGAAAATTACCTTGGACTAACCCAATTAAATGAAAGGATAAAGAAGGTAAGGACAAGAAGAATTCCCATAAAGGACAAGAATAATATTCATAAAGATTGCTTGAAGGTTACAAAAATTATCGCTGATCGCGTTTTGTCGATCCGACCTCCTTGTCGCCGGCTCATCGTGATCCACCGAACCAACCTCTTTGACCCGATCAGCCTTCTTTGGGTTGACCTTGAGGCAAGTTGTTGGGATCTCTCATCTTGGGTCAGGTCTGCTTCGTACTCATTGGTTCGAATCCCATATATATATATATATATATATATATATATATATATATATATATATATATATATATATATATATATATATATATATATCATCAGGCCCTCGCTCTTCGAGCTAAGAGACATCGACAACAAGAGAGAGTATCTACTACGAATTCTCTATGATTTGGACAATTCCATGTCATCCTTGTCGCTCAGGATAAAATTATTATTAATGAAGATGAGGTCTTCCTAGCTGATCTTGCACGGGTAGAGGGTGGTGGAGAGCACGACAAGTCCTCTAAAACCGAGTCAAAAATGGGAGCTTAGCAATAGGTTGCTTAGATTTTTATCCCTTTCATTTTGTTCTATTGTCTTGAATAAGGTATCCCAAGCTCTATCAAAGAAAATATTTCCTTTGATAGGCCTTCTTTTTCTTTGTTCCTTCAAGGCATGCGTTCATTTTGCAATCTTACTACGTGGGTTGACTTGGTCTCTCTTTGTCTTTAGTACATGGTCATTGTACGTATACATGTGCACACGCGCACACACACAAGGTTGGACCTTGTATTGCCCTTAGAAAATTACTTGGTCATTTTTTACTAAGGCATTGGCCTCGGCCAAAGGCTCTTCCATTCGATAATAGGCGAGGTCAAGTATTGTATTGCCCCTAGAGAATACTTAGATTTATCTTAGCTAATACTTGGGCTTGACCAAGAATGAACTCTTCCATTTGCTGGTGAGCGATGTTAGACCTCATACCACCCCTAAGGAAAAACTTAGCTTTTTCTTGGGCGAACTCGAGCTCAACAAAGAACGAGATCTTCCATTCGGTGATGAGCGAGGTTAGACCTAGTACCACTCCTTGGGAATACCTTCTCGTTCGATGCTATACAGGTCGGACCTTGTAATGCCTATAGTGAAAGCTTAGTTTTTTCGCCAATGATTGGGCTTAGCTAAGAATGAACTCTTCCATTCGATGGTGAGCAAGGTCAAAACTTGTGTTACCCCTAGGAAATAATTTCCCGTTCATCGCTAGGAGAGGTTGAACCTCGTAATGTCACTAATCTTCGCCAAAGCTCGGGCTCGACTAGGTACGAGTTCTTCTATCGATGGTAGCGAGATTGAACCTTGTACCACCTCGATCTAGGTAATACTTTCCTGTTCAATGCTAGGTGAGGTCGATCCTAGTGACGCCCCAAGGAAAAGACTTCGTCATTCGGCATTAGGTGATGTTGGACCTCATAACGGCAATAGGGAGAATCGAGGTCAGACTAAGTGTCCTTGACCTTGGCCACAAATTAATTCATTTCCTTGACATGCCATTTTGGAAAATTGAGGTCGGGGTCAACACCTTGGCCTCAGGGTCGGACCTCGCTCTCCCCTCAATAGGTGCTTAATGACTACGAATAGGAAACAAGTTTCCATATGTCTTACCCTACCTAAATTCCTAAGACTGCCTATTTTATAGAGATTCCAAATACTATATCTATATTCCATACCAAACCTATTTAAGTCAAGTTTGAATAGTTCGAATTTGAGTCAAATCAAGCTCAAACTATTAAAAAAAAATAAAAGTTTGAACTGAGTTTCAAGTTGATTAAAGTAAAATAAAAATATTGTTCAAGTACTCTTATGAATTACAAAGAAATTTTCTTCTTTCTATTTTTCTGGAGAACAAAATTAGTTTTCGACTAATTAAATATCTTTCTTCACCAAAATATTGTATAATATTGACCAAAACTGTATTAATTACATTGTATTTTACTCATAACTTTTATATATAGTCCAAAAACATTCAACTCTAATCAGAGAACCAAGTATTATATACTCATTATGCCTACTGGGAAACTCTTTCATCCGTTATGAAGATCTCATTTAGCCATTGGAGGTCTTCTTTGTTGAGTTCTGCCATGCGAATATCAACATCTTCCATCCATAAACTATCCAACATATCTTCTGAACCATAACCACAAGGAAAATCCTCAAAATCCAAGCATCTGAAATCACACTGCATTTGAATCACTTCTTCACTATTGTAGCCATGGTGCCACAGTTGTCTTGAGATGTTAACATCGACGAAATTATTATGCTCGAAGCCTAAACGCCTCAAGTCATTGCCAACCCTCGCATTTTCCTCGGTGTCGAGGATGAGACAACTAATTGAAGGTGAAGTTGAAAGTTTTGGTTCATTAGGTATCCCTGGAATAGGCTCATTGCCAACCCTTGCATTTTCCTCGGTGTCGAGGATGAGATGACTGATTGAAGGTGAAGTTGACAGTTTTGGTTCATTAGGTATCCCTAGAATAGGCTCATTGCAAACCCTCGCATTTTCCTCGGTATTGAGGATGAGATGACTGATTGAAGGTGAAGTTGAAAGTTTTGGTTCATTAGGTATCCCTGGAATAGGCTTATTGCCAACCCTCGCATTTTCCTCGGTGTCGAGGATGAGACGATGGATTGAAGGTGAAGTTGACAGTTTTGGCTCATTTGGTATCCCAGGAATAGACTCATCCACTAAAGTGGCACTGGACTCATGATGGGTTTGGTTCACTTTTAGTTTCTTGATAGGATTATTATCTTCTTCTTTGGTTGGATCTTCATCACCCTCTAGTCCCAAGTTGAATTCTTGGCATAATTGATCTTCCAAGAATTCTGAACCTGATTCTTGAGAAGCAACTGATGTTTCATAACATGGATTCTTCTTATCCTTGTCTAACATACTAAGCATTCTTTCAAATTCTGCCTTCTGGGCATCATAGGCTCTAGCAGCATCTTCAACACTGGCAAAAGTTCCCACCCATTTTCTTTTCTTTTCAATGGGGTTTCTAATCTCCACTGCAAATTTCCCCCATTTCCTCTGCCTAACACCTTTCGGCAATCCGAGTTTTCGGGCATAATCCTTACTAATCTTACTATGATCAATTTGTTCTTTATCTGAAATCTGAGAAGGGTTTTTTGCAATTGGAATAATCACCTCCTTAACAACACGTTTAACTTTGCTATGAGCATTCTTATCATCATCATCATCAGTATCAGAATCTGTAGCATCAGGATCATTGTAAATTATCTTAACTTTTTGCACAGAATTCAAACATTCTATTCCCCTCTCATTCTTAACTCTATAAGGCACTTTACTCATATCTGAAACCCTTCTACAAATTCAGAAGATCAGAAAAACCCTGAAACTTCAAATAGGTTGAATCTAAAGATCCAAAGAACTCTTAAAGGGATTCAAGAATTCCCCCCAATTTGGTATAAATTGGGACCCTTTTCTGTGCAAAAGTTCAATGCATTCCTGAACGAAACAGCCCACCCTGCAAGAAAACACAAAACCCCACCGTATCCCCATAAACCCCATCAACACCACATTACACAATTTCAATAAAAAGCACCAAAAAAACACAAGAATTTATTTACTTTCCTCACATATATGATCATTCAAACATTGGGTACTGAAAAAAAAAAAAAAAAAAAAAAAAAAAAAACCAAGTATTGAGAATTTAAAAAAAAAAATAAACAAGCTTTTTTTTTTTCCAAATTGTACACATTGAGAGTAAAGATCATACCTTTGGACCTGCGAACAATGGTTATTATGATCGCAAGGATGAGAAGAAAAGAGAGAAATTATGTGATGGGAAAGAAGAGACGACCGATCAGAACTATATGAATGGTTAAAGAGTTCTAATCCCAAACGACGTATAAGCAGTTTGGAGTAATTAATTTATACTCCGTAATATGGAAAGGAGCCAAAACGAATTGAAGCGATGTTTTCGAAGATATTTATGTCAAGAAAATACAGGGGATTCCGAATGTATTTAAAATAGTAAGCTTGCCTTAAATGCTCCATGGAAATTTCCTTTTTTCAGGCGATTTTTCCCGTTCCCAGCGGGAGTTTCGTCCCGCCCGAGCGCTCTCTCATGCAGAAATAGAAAGCGGGAAAAGTACTGGGCTTATTGCCAAATTCAATTATTCAAACGCCCTCCATAACTTCTAATTTCCCAATTGGGCCCTTTAGATAATTTTGGAATATAGTTTCTAAATTATGAGTTTTACTCGAGGGTGTTCTGATTTTTTCAATCATGATATATTTTTAATATACTAAATGTATATTTTTAATACATTAACCACACGTTTGATTCACGGAATGAATTTTGAAAAAATATGAATGTTATTTCATAGAGAATGGAATAAGCAAGGAATAGAACAAGAATTGTATTTTATGATTGGCTCGCTGAAGGAATATATTTTAGAAATTATAATCCACTGTTTGTTGGTTTAAGGAAAGATGTAATATATATTTGTAAAAGACATAAATATCATTATTCAAAATGATGATGATGATGATGATGGTGGTGGTGGTGGTGGTGGTGGTGGTGGTGGTGGTGGTGGTGGTGAAATAGGCCCTCCAACTATAAGCCAGAGTCCAATTAGCCCCATAAACTAACAAAAGTTTTAATAAGGCCATTCATCTCTTCACTTGTATGCAATTAAGT